CCGTCAAATTCAGGCGCATAAACCAGAGATTTTCGTAGCCTAGTTCGGCGGTGTTCGTGGCTGAGTTCGTGAAGGCTCTGAGGCAGCAGTTCTTGAAGGCAGAAGGTATACAACCCCTTCTTTTTATTATTATTATTATTATTATTATTTTTTTTTTTTTTTTTTTTTTTTTTTTTTTTTTTTATATTTTAGAGAGGATATCAGTTTGCACCACAGGTGGGCTGTGGGCTGTAAGTGTAGGCTACGGGTTGCCTGTGGAACACGCTGCCTCTTCCCTTCAGCTTTTCAAATTTTTTTTTTTATTTTTTTTATTTTTTTATTTCATGAAGTACTCAGCCACAGGCTGTCCGTGGCTGGCTGCTTTTCACTGCGGGGTGGCTGCGAACTGCTCTGATTTTGATATACGATGAAGATGTTGCCGCAACAAGGCTGCGTAGAAGATGAGTTGCCGCAACAAGGCTGCGTAGAAGATGAGTTGCCGCAACCTACTTGCGGACTATACTGTAATCACCAAAATTAGGCTCCACTATGCTTGCTCCTCCTGCAATCACACGCTATTAGAGATGAAGGCAAAGAAAACTAAGAGAAGGAGTTAAAAGAATTAATTAAAAAAAAAAATGAAAAACTCTAGATTAGGCTACTCCACGTTACTTCCTAACCTAATAAAAACAAGAAAAAGGAATCATACTCCACTAAACTACAGCTATAGGAAAAAAAAAGGGCTACTCTACGTTTTTTTTTTATTAAAAAAAAAATAAATAAATAAATAAAAACTTAGTAAGAGTAGAAAAGAATGGGTTGCCTCCCAAAAGCGCTTGTTTATAAGGTCTTAAGCTCGACCACCTTTTCGTTCAGTTCGAAGTAGGATCAAAAACGGTAAAAACCGCTTTTGCTTCAATGGGTTCGCCTTCTCGATAGTGCTTGAGACGTTGCCCATTCACCTTAAAAGAACCAGTAGCTTAACTCCAAACTTCAACTGAATCATAGGGAAAAACCTTTCGAACCAGAAATGGGCCTGACCACCTTGATCGAAGTTTTCCAGAAAACAATTTCAATCGAGAATTGAATAATAATACTAGTTCTCCTTCATGAAATTCTCGCCTCATAATATGCTTATCATGCCACTTCTTCGTCCTTTCCTTGTATAACTTCGAGTTTTCATAGGCTTCTAGTCGAAGTTCATCCAACTCATTAAGTTGTAACAATCTCTTCTCACCGGCTGCCTTGGCATCGAAATTAAGGCTTTTGATGGCCCAGTATGCTCGATGCTCTAACTCAACAGGTAGGTGGCATGCTTTTCCATAAACAAGTCTATATGGAGTTGAACCTATTGGAGTTTTGAACGCCGTTCGGTACGCCCATAATGCATCATCTAGCTTCACAGACCAGTCTTTTCTTGTTCGTGCGACAGTTTTCTCGATGATGGACTTGATCTCTCGATTTGACACTTCAACTTGGCCACTAGTTTGTGGGTGATAGCCAATGCCAAGTCTGTGTTGTACTCCATATTTCTTCAACATTGCTTCAAACCGATGCTCCGTGAAATGTGTTCCCCTGTCACTGATCAAAACACGTGGTAAACCAAAACAAGGGAAAATAACTTTCTTGGAGAACTTACTTACCACGCGAGCGTCATTGGTTGGAGTAGCAATTGCTTCGACCCATTTTGAGACATAGTCAACGACCACTGGAATATATCGATTTCCATAGGAAGAAGGGAATGGTCCCATGAAGTCTATCCCCCACACATCAAACAACTCGACCTCGAGTATGTTGTTGAGTGGCATTTTATTCCTCCTAGAAATATTGCCCGTCCGTTGACATCGATCACATGCCTTGACATAGGAATATACATCTTTGAACATCGTTGGCCAATAAAAACCGCACTGCAAGATCTTTGCGGCTGTCTTTGAAGGACCTGCATGTCCACCACACGGTAAGTCATGACAATGAGAAATAATATCAGCAACCTCATTCTCCGGTATGCATCGTCGGATTACAGAATCCGCGCATTTCTTATACAAGAAAGGATCTTCCCAGAAATGTCTCCTCGCCTCATAAAGGAATTTCTTCCTTTGTTGAGATGAGTAGCCATGAGGCATTGTACCTGTGGACAGAAAATTAGCCAAATCAGCATACCAAGGTGATTCAGTTTTCAAAAGAGCTAATAAATGTTCAGCAGGAAAAAAATCATCAAAAGGGATATCGTCCTTATCCTCGGGGTCGAGGAGAAGGCGGGAGAGGTGGTCTGCGACAACATTCTCAGTCCCCTTTGTGTCCTTTATCTCTATATCATAGTCTTGCAATTGAAGGATCCACCGAATCAACCTAGGCTTTGCATGGGTTTTGGTCATCAAATACCTCAGTGCTGCATGATCTGTATGAATGATAACCTTAGAACCAACCAAATAGGAATGAAATTTGTCAATTGCATAAATAACAGCTAGCATCTCTTTTTCAGTTGTGGCATAATTCATTTGAGCCGAGCTAAGAGTCTTGCTAGCATAATAAATAGCATGAAGCTTTTTATCCTTTCGTTGCCCCAAAAAGGCCCCTACCGCATAATCACTAGCATCACACATGATTTCAAACGGTAAGGCCCAATCTGGGGGTTGCATAATAGGAGCAGAGATCAAAGCTTCCTTCAACCTGTTAAAAGCTTCAAGACAAGCATCAGTAAAGACAAATGGAACATCCTTAGCTAAAAGCTCAGTTAGAGGTCGAGCAATTTTCGAAAAATCCTTAATAAAACGACGGTAAAAACCTGCATGACCAAGGAAACTTCGAACTCCTTTTACAGAGTTCGGAGGGGGAAAACGCTCTATGACCTCTATCTTAGCCTTATCTACCTCAATACCCTTATTAGATACAACATGACCTAAGACAATTCCCTGTTGCACCATAAAATGGCATTTTTCCCAGTTCAAAATCAAGTTGACTTCCTTACATCTTTGGAGCACCTTTTTAAGATTTTCAAGACATACATCAAAGGTTGTTCCATAGACAGAGAAATCATCCATAAATACTTCCATAGAATTTTCTATGAGTCCTGAGAAAATTGCCATCATACATCTTTGAAAAGTGGCAGGGGCATTACATAGTCCAAATGGCATCCTGCGATATGCAAAGGTGCCATATGGACATGTGAAAGTAGTCTTTTCCTGGTCACAAGGACGGGTGGGAATTTGAAAGAAACCAGAATATCCATCCAAGTAACAGAAAAAGGAATGCTTTGCCAACCTTTCAAGCATTTGATCAATAAAGGGTAGGGGAAAATGATCCTTCAGGGTGGTCTTATTCAATTTTCTATAATCTATACACATTCGCCATCCTGTAACAGTCCTAGTGGCGACTGGCTCACCCTTGTCATTCTTGACAACGGTCATACCTCCCTTCTTTGGTACTACTTGTACAGGGCTAACCCACTTGCTATCAGAGATAGGGTAGATTATTCCTGCAGCAAGCAATTTCAGAATCTCTTTTTTCACTACCTCCATCATATTTGGATTAAGTCTTCTTTGAGGTTCTACAGAAGAGGCATGATCGTTTTCAAGAATGATTTTATGCATACAGAAAGAAGGATTAATACCCTTGATATCATCAATGGTGTACCCAATAACACTTTTATATGTTTTCAGAACATTGAGCAGTTGCTCCAATTCTGTGTCCTTGGGTTCAGGATTAACAATAACAGGGTATGAATTGTTTGGACCAAGATATGCATACTTTAAGTTAGAGGGAAGGGGTTTCAACTCTACCTCGGGAGGCTTAGTACTCTCCCCAATACTCATTACATTCAGTGTCTCTCTGATTGGATTCACGCTCGGGTCGGCCTTTGCTTCTTCAAGCAGCCTGACATACTCTCTTGATTCCCAATCTCCATCATCATCTTCCTTCCCTATTAGCACTTGCTCAAGGGCATCATCTTTTTGATTCAGAGGGAGTTGCTCACCTTGTAGCTCATCGAGCACATCAACCTGACAAACAGTATCTCCCATAGAGGGAGCACCCATAACATTCAAAAGTGAGTATTCCAATTTCTCATCACCTACTTCAAAAGTAATCTTACCTTTCTTCATATCAATAATTGCACCTGCAGTAGCTAAGAAAGGTCTACCAAGTATAATTGGAACATTCACATCTTCATCCATCTCCATCACAACAAAATCACAGGGTATGAAAAACTTACCTACACGAAGAGGTACATCCTCAAGTACACCCAAAGGAAACTTCACTGACCTGTCTGCAAGTTCTTGGGATATGCGTGTGGGTTTGAGTTCACCCATTTGCAGCTTCTTACATATGGACAGTGGCATGAGGCTCACACTTGCACCAAGATCGCACAATGCTCTGTTGATTTCGATATCCCCAAGCTTCACTGGAATCGAATAGCTACCTGGATCTCCTAATTTCTTAGGGAGAGTGTTCTGCAAAATAGCACTACACTCTGCATTCAAAGAAACTGTAGTATTCTCTTCTAACTTTTTCTTGTTAGATAGCATATCTTTTAAGAATTTTGCATAAGAAGGCATCTCAGATATGGCATCTAAAAATGGAATGTTAATATGAAGCTTTTTAAGAATATCAAGAAACTTACTGAACTTTTTCTCAAGTTTAGCTTGGGCTAACCTTTGAGGAAAAGGAACCTTAGGCACATACGAAGCAAGTGGCTTTGGTGGTGCTTCCTTTGATTCATCCTCGACCCTAGAGTTGTCAACTTCCTTCTCACTTGCACCTGCTTCTTCAACGACCTCCTTTGATGGCTCCTTGGTAGGAGGATCTTCCAATTGCTTTCCACTCCTCAGGGTAACAACATTCATTTGGCCTTTTTGAGGTTGTTCTGTCTGGCCCGGAAAAGTTCCTGGAATCTTTAAAGATTGGCTAACTTGATTGGCAAGTTGGCTTATTTGGTTTTCCATGAGTTTACTCTGGGCATGCAACTGTTGGATAGAGCTATTTTGGTGTTGGATGGCACTATTTGTTGCGGTTATAAAGCTCTCTTAAGTTATTTCAAGGCTAGATTTCTGAGGTTGTGGTTGCATTGGTTGTTGGGTGTTGGGTGGTCTTTGTTGGAAGCCAGGTGGTGGTTGGTTGTAGTTGTTGGGTTGAAGTGGATTTTGTTGTGCTTGGGTATTCTTGTATGAAAAGTTAGGATGGTGTTTCCATCCTTCATTATAGGTGTTGGAATAGGGGTCATAGGGCCTTTTGGGGTTAGAGGAGTAGAAAGCATTGGCCTGCTCGATTGACATGTCCTCTGTATTCTGCGAAATCTGCGAGCAATCTGGTGCAATATGACCCTGCACATTACACAATTGACACAACTCTTGTGGGCTAGTAGAGGTTCCAGCTTGGAACTTATCAAACCTGCTTGTTAGTGCCTGCACAGAACTGGTTAGCATAGTTAAGGCATCAACATCAAGTTTACCTCCCTTTTTCAAAGTGTTTCGGCCTCCTGGATGATAATTATCGTTGGCTGCCATCTTCTCTATAAGCTCCTTTGCTTCAGTGGGGTTCTTTGTCAAGAGAGAGCCCCCAGATGCAGCACCAATGTAGATTCGGAACTCATGAGTTAGGCCATTGTAGAAAGTTTGGATCAACATCCATTCAGGAATACCATGGTGAGGGCATTGTCTCTGCAAACGCTTGAATCTCCTCCATGCGTCATATAGGAACTCATCATCTGACTGCCTGAAAGTGGATAACTCGTTTCTCAACCTTGCAGTCTTTTCCTGTCCTAAGAACTTGACTAGGAAAGCCTTCACCAATTTGTCCCATGTGTCAAATGAGCCAGAACCTTCATCTCTCAGCCATTCCTTCGCCCTATCCCGTAATGAAAAAGGAAAAAGGCGAAGTCTAAGAGCATCGTCTGTAACACCATTCATCTTCATGGTATCACATTTCTCCAAAAAGCTATCAATATGACTTACTGGGCAATCATGTGGTAGCCCTGCGAATGAATCATTGGAGATGAACTGTATGAATTGCGGCTTGAGCTCGAAGTGCTGAGCCGTCACAGGTGGTCTTACGATGCTAGAAAGGATTCCGGTAGTCGTATCAGTAATACCGTACTCCAAAAGGGATTTCGTTGGTTGGTCTACCATGTTTCTATTGGATTGATTTCTCCTTCTTCTTCTACCTGCCCGTCTTCTTGCGGTTGCTTCGATTTCATAATCAAAAGGTACTAGATCTTCCGAACCTGAACTTCGTGTGGGCATGCAACAAGAAAACTAGAGAAAGAGTATAAAAAAACACAAGAGAAAATAGCCGAAGCAACGAAATAAGCCTAGCAAAAACGAATCACAAATAATCTAATGAAACCGTTAGTCCCCGGCAACGGCGCCAAACTTTGATAGGCGGTCGCACACTTAACAAAAATAATACCTAAATAGACCTCCTAATTATGTAGCAGGGTAAGTCAGGGTCGATCCCACAGAGACTATGGTTCACCTAAACTATCTAGACTCAAGTTATTACTAAGCAAGTAACAAATTCAAAGATGAAGAGTATTAACTACTAACTACGGAATATTAAGAAAACAAATTAACACGAAGATTAATATAAACTAAAAACACCTAGAATTAGGAATCCCCACTAATATAGATCAATACGTCAAAATAATCCCTTTTCCACAATCAAATCAATAGATATTCCACAGGACGGGTGCTCCCTACAACAAATACTAAGAGTTTCTTTCGATCAACTAATAGCTTCCCTAATATGCAATCATACCTATTTTCATGGAGTCATACATATTAAAGACATTAAGAACGACATCCAATAAGTCCTAGCAAGAATAATTAGCTATTTTCATGCATAAAGATTCTTACTTTTAATTAGGGTTCTAAAATCGATTAAGAATCAACTTTCATTGTAAACCTAATCACATTCAATAATACTATTTCTAGTTAATCATTGATAATAAAACCAACCCTAATAAAGAGGAATTATAAATTAATTAGATATAGGATTGAGAACCAAACAACATATTAATCCATATTAGGGTTCAACCTAATCCTAGATTATAAAACTACTCACACATGTTGATTAAATAAACGAAATAATTAACAAAAGAAAACATTATAACAATAATAATAAGAAATAAAGAGAAGAAGAAATACTTGAATAAATGGAGAACTTGAATTAATCTTCAATGGAACAAAGTTGGAAGAACAAGAAGAAAAACCAACGTATAAATTGGAATAATTGTGATGATAAAAGTCCCCCTTTTCTATCTTGTTATTAGTCTATATATATCCTAGGAATTTTAGTGGGCTTAGGACTCCAAATTAACATAATTAAGGGCCTAAAACGCAGCAATTAGGAGCCACCACGGGTAGGCTGTGGAGAGCCGTGTTCGACCACAGGCAGGCCGTGGAGAAGGCTGTCGTAGCTGCTCTTTGCCATATGAAAACGAGTTGGCCACAGGATGGCCGTGGAGAGAGTTGTACGCCCACAGGCAAGCCGTGGAGGTGGCTGCCATGTCCATTATTGTATGTAAATTTCTCCCTTTAACAAGTCGAATCACGATCAAAGCAAACCTCTAGCAAATCTAGCCCAATTCCTACAAAAATCAAAATAAAACAAACCAAGGAGAGCAATATCGAAATATAAAGACTAATAGCTCTAAAAGATTAAAAGTATGTAGAAAACATGATAAAAACCCGCAAATATAACATATAAAATGAATATATAAACGTGTTATTATAAATTTTATTCAAAAGAATTATAAATTATTTTATGTATACTGGTTTTATCCTAAACTAACAAATCTATCCAATCTAATCTACCGTGACATCTAATCTAATCACAATAATATCTATTTGTTGCCTACGTGGCTTGACACTTGGCAAAAAACTGGAATGCCAAGTGTCGTTGTTTTGTGACCTGGCAGCTAGATCGACTTTATTTATTAGTGATATGATATGATAGTGTACTTTTTAAAAAAATATATATTTAATTTATCAAAAAGGATTATTCAAATTTTTTTTTTGAACGGGTTATTTAAATACTATAAAATAAGATATCTATGTTATTATAGATTTGAAATTATTTTTATTGAATTTAAACTAAAATTATTTTTACTAATTAAAACTTAATTTTACTAATTCTCTATTAATTTTTTTAATAAATTAAATATATTATAAATGGATCTTTTTTTGAAGAACTTTTTAAAACGAATTTTATAATGAAAATAGAATCGAGTTATAGGATATTTATTTAAAGTAAGGATTAATTTTGTATATATGAAATATTAGAAGTATATCAATAATAAAACTCTATACAACAATTTCATCTTAAAAAAGTTATCCAAAAATCGCTTACTTAGCATCATATATTTGACAATAAAACCTATTGTTGCCTACGTAATGCGACACATGGCAAAAAACTGGAATGTCAAGTGTCGTTGTTTCGTCGACTAGCTGCGAGACGGGCTTTATTTATTAGTGATATGATATGATATGATATGATATGCTATTATGTTAATTCGGATCTAACTGGAACTATAACAATAAGACAGTTTTCTTATTTATGAAATAAAAGGTCGAGACAATAATATAGAGATCGAACAAATATATGTAACGACAGAATTTACTTCATGATCTATTCATTATTTTAAAATTGCCTCAATTTTCATACTTGTTTTGTTTCAAAGTTGCAATACTTTGGGTAAAGATGATTCATAAAGTTTTAATAATCTATTAATAAGAAGTAAAAAGATGATATTATGATATATAATATAAGTACCGATTAAATGGTGTTTAGCTAACATTATATGCCGTATCTATTAAAAAAACCTCTCCTCTCTCCTCCAGCCTCAATTGTTGTTTTTTTGAAGAGGCTTCCATCGATTTTAACCGGTGGAAAGCTCGAATCCTTGTTTCTTTAAAAGTTTTTTTTAGGTTTATAATAATGCTTCCTCCTTTTGGGAGAAATTTTCTCCCTCCAGAGAAAGACTTTCCGATCTCTTTCGAAAGACAAGGGTTTTTTCGACCTCATTCGAAATACGAGGTTTATCTCCTCTTTTTCGGGGAGAATTTTTTTAGGTTTAAATCCATGATATTAGATATAATGGATTGTCATGGAATTATTTCGTTGGTGAAAAATTATGCGAGGTCGCAAGGGTTATCAAGCTTTCAAATACAATCGGATGAATGAATCAAAAGGAAAACATCATCGTGGCTACCAAGGATTGTTAGATTGTCTCTCCAACAAGGCTATATTTACCAGCGGTATTAGCGGAAGATGTTCCACAGTGCAAGATCTACTCGACGATCGTAGTTTTTGTACAGAAAATTTTTATTTGATTCAATATCTTATATATTTGTTAAAATCGAATATCTTTTGTAGATGTCGTATGACTTTTTATTAATGAATTTTTTTACTATTCAAAAACATTATTTTACTCATTACTTGTTAACATTTGCATTCCATAAATTAGTAAAAAATTTCTGTAAGATATGATCAAGCAGTGTAAATCTAAAAGGATTACTACAAGTACGAATATTTGAAAGCAGAAAATGTATTTAATTAAATTTTACTTCAATACTTGTATATTATTGTCTCAATTTTTTTAGATCACACAATCTGAACAATCTTTCTTCTTTATTTCTTACTCCACATGCAAAATTATGGTATATCTGAGCGAGGCGGCTACTGACATTTGTTAGCAATGCATGGGAAAGTAGACACAATAATAATTTTAGAGTAATGTTTTTGCAAAGTTGTGGGTTGTTCATCACACATGATGTGTGCAGTGGATAGACCCAAACATAATGGAAGATTTGGGAGGAAACATTATACAGTATTAATTAGAATGAACATACTTGAAATGTCTAGAGTACGTTATAAAATTAAAAAATAAGGTATACAGCATTTCCTTTACAAATTATAATTAAACACGTCATTAACAAATATTTTTATTAAACATATCTTATTTCTTACACCTATAATACTAATTATATTCATCAACTAAAAGTCTTGTAGTGCGTGTGTGTGGTTGGCCATACCATGTAACCGCTTGTAAAATAACAATGTAACCCCTATAACATTGACCGTGTAACCCTTGTAACACCGACCGTGGAATTCCTATAACACTGACGAAGTAACCCCCGTAACTCCGACTAAGTAATCCCATGATAACTGACCACACTGTGTGGCCAACCACTTATAAAAATTTGTGAAAGTCTTGAAATGCTATATATATTAAAAAATTATTAATTTTATTTTGCAATAATAATTATTTCTTGTAAGTTGTAACACACGCTCAAATAAGTCGGCTAATCAATTTAATACAATTAGCCCCTAGCCAAGAAGTGAGAGCCAAACAAAAGTACTATCTTCAGAAATTCATTTTAAAATAACTTATACAGTACGTGCTAATATTTAATTTTTATTTTTTTAGAGAAAAAAAAAATAGTAAAAGAAAAACTAAATTAAAAGTAGTATTTCCCTCTATTTTTATTTGATTGCAACATTTTCTACTTTTGATTTTTTTTTTTAATTGCAACACTCTCTATAATGAAAATAATCTACATACAAATATACAATATTTAAATAATACAGAATGTTAAATTGTACACTGTATTAGTTACGAAGTATTACAGAACATAGGATTGATATATTGATATTGTAAGTTGATTGAGTACAAGAAACTTCTAAACTTGTACTCCCTCCATTTTTAAATGGTTGCTCCATTTCTCCATACGCGGAGTTTTAGGAGAAATTGAAGAAAGTAATTATAATATGGAGGTAGTGGGGTGGGTGGAGGAATTAAAAATTATAAAAAGCAAAAGTAGTTGAGAGAATTGGAGAAAAGAAAATATGAAATTAATAAAATATGATTATGTTGAGTCCACTAGTTAAGAGAAATAAATTAAATATTGTAAAAGTTTTTAAAACAAGGAAATGAAACAAATATTTAAAAACGGTCGGAAATAAAAAGTAAAGCAAGTATTTAAAAACGGAGGAAGTATTTAATGCAAAATGCAAAGAGAGATCTCTAACTTGCCACGACTCTGAATACACACCATTATAACTATTTTCTCTAGCCGTTTTGTACAAAATGTGGACGACGACATTGCCACAATGACCACAAATGTGT